ATGTAAAAGAGATTTTTATGAATTGAGCCTAGAGAGCCAAGATTTGGAATTTTGTGCCGGTCTTGATCACATTAAGACCGACTCAATACGATTTTAGTTCTTCGTTCTTGATTCTGGGTTCTTGGTTCTCAAGTCATCATGCCATGTTCCTTCGCCTTAGTTTTGCTCACTTTAGCTTCGATATGTCGCGGCGGTTTGGCATTATCAAAACCTGTCATAAAAACCGAACACAGTTTAGTACGACGTAAGGCGTAAACCCGTGTTCCAACAAAACCTGTGCTACTACAATGTATTAAGAATAATTATGATGGGCCCAAACCATTCAGATTCCTTAATATTTGGATGAATCACCCTAACTTTATGCAGACTCTCAAAGACTCCTGGAATTCTCAAACCTGTTTTGGGGGTATGACAGGGCTGGCTCACAAACTCAAAAGGCTCAAGGCTATGCTTAAAGAATGGAACAAAGATGTTTTTTGTAGGGTGGAGAATATTATTAAAGAGGCAGAACTCAAAGCAACTTCAGCACAAGAAAGGTTTGAGATTGATCCCTCAGTTGCCAATAGGACTGAGGCTAATAAAGCCAAAGCTTAACATATTTTGGCTACTGAAAATGAGATCAACCTGTGGAAGCAAAAGGCTAATATCAACTAGATGGAAGGAGGTGACAGTAATTCCAAGTTTTTTCATTCATTTGTTAAAGGCAGGAGAATTAAATCCACAATCAGAACCATTGATAATAATAAGGGGGATCCTATCAACAAATCAGAGGAAATCCAAAAATTAGCAGTTGATCATTTCTCCTAGCTTTTCTGTAGTAAGAAGATTATAAATCTTAACCCTATTAAGGAGTACTTGGAAGTAAGAGTTACAGAGGCTGACAACCTGGAGTTGACTAAAGTACCTACTGGAGAGGAGATTAAGGAAGTGGTTTGGAATCTGAATCCTGATAGTGCTCCTGGTCCGGATGGTTTCAATGGCAAATTTTTTAAATCCTGCTAGGACATTGTCAAGGAAGACATTATCAGTGCCTCCCGAGAATTTTTTTTAGGGATCCCTGTCCCTAAAAGTTATGGAAGTACTTTCTTAACCTTGATCCCCAAAAAGGAGGACCCAAAAAATTTCAGTGATTACTGACCCATTTCTCTTTCCACTTTCATGAGCAAGATAAACACAAAGATCCTGGCCAATAGACTCTAAAAGATTCTCCCTAAAATCATATCTTTTGAGCAGACAGGATTTCAACAGAATAAGGGCATTGAAGAACAGATTCTTCTCACTGAAGAAATGGTTCACAAGATTGAGAACAAGACAAGTGGGGGAAATATTATCATAAAGCTAGATATGGCTAAGGCTTTTGATAACATGGAATGGGATTTTATCACCTTTGTTCTTCAGTCTTTGGGTTTCTCTGGGAAAGCCTGTGAACTTCTAATGGCTAACCTTTTTGCTACTCACATCTCTATCCTAATTAATCATAGTCCTTGTGGCTTTTTTAAGATGCAAAGGGGTGTCAAGCAGGGGGGTCCACTTTCTCCTCTACTATTCATTCTTGCCAGTGAAGGTCTGAGCTGCATTCTCAACCAATCAATGAATAAAGGTATCATTAATCATTATAACACTAGAAGGGATCTGATTGTCAGCCATTTGGGTTTTGCTGATGATATTATTATCTTCACTAAAGGAGATGGGGTTAATCTTAAGAAATTGGTGAGCCTTTTGAAGACCTACCTAGATGCATCTGGCCAGGTTATAAACTACTCTAAAAGTCGATTTTATTATGGTAAAAAATGCTCCAGTTCAGATATTAACAAAATGGGGAGAATTCTGGGAATGCAACATGGTCAAATTCCCTTTAGATATCTTGAGGCACCTATATGTAAAGGGATCTTGAGAAAAGACGATTGTAAGGAGCTGATCAACCATATTGAGTTCTACCTTCATAACTGGTTTAGCAAGACTCTTAATCAAATGGGTAGACTGGTACTTATCAAACATATTCTTTCAGCCATTCCTCTACACATT